TTCTTTCAAATTTCGAGGGGGTTTTCTTTAGACTTTTAAAAATTTTTCACAAATTTAAAATACTGTCTCGTAGTTCAGTTAATAAGGAGAAATTCCGGCTTTCCGATTTAAGATTTTTTAGGTTTATTTTGTTTAGAAACAGTTCTGGTTGAATGAACCAAATAAATTTTTTGGCTTATCGTGTTTATGAGTCTAGATTGTTTTGTTGGCCTAGCCATTTATAAACAAACCCAATTATTGTAATTTCTCTGTTGATGACTTCCTCCATCAGCAAAACAATGTTGTCCTCTCATACGATATCTAATCAAATGTGTTACAAAAAAAGTAATTGCATCATCTAAATCGCACTCCTCTGGTACATTAATAATTTTATCAACATTATTTTGCACTTTAATATCTCCAAAAACATGATTTCCATCCGGTATTGAGCAAACCATGTAAACACAGAAACGTTTGTATTCATGATTATCAACACGTTGGTAATCATTCCCGTTTGAAACGGTTGCGTTTATATTTAGACGGAATCGTCTTCCTTCGGCAATTGCACAAAAATTTAAAAATGTAAAAAAGAACAAGATTGGAACTAAAATTTTGTTCATTTTTAAATTCTAAATAAAAAGAAGTTTAGATTTTGAGAAATTCTGTTACATATTTTTCACCTCTAAAAGAGATTGTTTTAATACAACTGCACATTTATAGAGTACAAACAGGGTCCGCGAGGCCAAGGCACCGCTGAACTAAAAATTCGATAGAAATTATCGACCTCCAAAAATCCCCGATATACTTTTAATCAACAAATCCCATCTCAATCACTCTATATCCTTCCATTTAATCAACCAAACGTGAGGGCAATCTCCGAGAAATTTTAATTTATTCTTGTTAGAATGTTTGAAAATATTCATAAATTTAACCAAAATCCCGCTAAATTTCCTAAGATCGCTCCTGGACCCAACTCTCTCTCAACTCGGAAGCCAGCTTCGGAGACGAATCTGGAGTTAAGCTTGTTTTATAAGTTAAGCTTGCTTCATAACTTTACATTTAAAATTCCCGGGGAAGAAGTCAAGATTTTAAAAGCTCGAAGAGGCAGACACAATTTGCCCAACACGCAACACTGATTAGGATTACGATAAAAAGCTAAATGAATAAATTAGACGAATTTTTATCTCTTTTAAAGTCATCAAATTTCGTACTTTTACAAACAAAATCGAAATTTACAGGCGAAGCTATCAAACATTACGAGCAATATATCATATTTCTTAAGCAATTTATTAAATAAAATTTTTCGGCAAAAAAAAATGCCAAAGGAGAGGATAGAGAAGCTAAATTAAAGGGCTCTTAATTAGCTATTAATTTGATAGGCAAGGGAGGATTTCTCTTGCCATAATTTCCTTCCTTTGGCATTTAATTTGCCGACAATTTTAATTTAATAAATTGATTACGAATCATAAGCAAAATTTAAAGATAATAATTAAGTTGGAAGTGATCTCTGAGATCAGTTTCAAAATGACTCTGAGCTGTTTCGAAATTTCGATTTTCTACTTTTAATTTTCAAGGGTTTTTTTCTTAAATTTAGACTCTATGGTGAATTTTTCAGTTTTTGAATTTTTCAATGTTTCTCTGTTTTAAAACATAATAGTTGTTTATATTATTTCATTTAATTTATCCTCACTATAGGTGAGAGCTGATTTTATAAGCTTTATCTTCTATATAACTTAGAGAGTTCAATATGTTTAACCTCGACTGAATTAATCCAAAAAATACTTAATATATTACTTATTAAAATACATACATAATAAGTTTACTCACGGGCAGGCTTCGATCCTGCGACCTCCTGGAAGGTATTCCTAGGTGATTTCGCTTACCTCATTATAGGTGTTCTACGACGAGCGATACCGATCGGAGATTCTCGGCTTTTTTCCAATATCGGTCTCGGTTTTTTCATTCACGTCCTTGAAACCGATACCGAAATTCTCGGTTCATTTCTCGGCGAGAAACGATACTGACTCGAAAAAACAAAATCCTCAATTTGGCATAAAAATCTTTGTTAGTATCGGCAGTATTGTTTCTAGGTATCGGTCTAGGCTCAAAATGATGGTATCGGTATCTGGTTCTTTAGTATCGGTCAATCTCGGTCTCGGGTTGGCCGATACCAGTATTGTTTTGATCAACTCTAGTTTAAACTTTATCTCGCTTTTAATTAAACCTTTAATTTGCTTGCCTTTTTCTTGCCCTCTAATTCTCTCCTTTTGCCATTTAATTTAATTTAATTTTTTTATTTAATAAATTGATTACGTTCATAAGCAAAATTTAAAAATAAAAAATCAGTTTCAAATCAACTCTGAGTAAAAATAAAAATCAGTTTCAAAATGACATCTGAGCTGTTTCGAAATTTCGATTTTCATTTATATCTAAAAAAAATTTTTTCAACTTTATTTTTAATTGTAAAATTATTTCCCCAAGATTTTCTTTAAAAAAGAGACTTTTTTAGTAAATAAATAATTAAATAAATTTTGAGGGTGTGAAATAATTCCATGGCGACACTTAAATAATTTTACACCTTGAATAAATGATGTTTACTTAATAATATTGAAAAAAGTTAGTTGAAATAAACGCTATATTTCGTGATTTATTACTTTAAAGTTTTTTTATTTTTATTTTAAATTTTTTTATTTTTTTAAATTTTTTCTGTCTGATTTATTAAACAAAAATTTTTTTTATTATTTCTAAATAAATTTAAAAATGTGTACGTTCGAACCTCAATTTCAGATCCTCTCTACGTTAAGCTTTACGTTTCGAGGTATCTACCGAGGGTCTCTTATACGACCGACAAGCCGAGTAATTTCGATTTATTTCTTCGGTTTTTCATGAGATTCAGATATATGAAAATTCGTTTCGCAAAGCAGTTCAGTTTTTTTTATCTGTTTCGTCATAAAATAGAGAAGGACAATGCTTTCATGAGTTATCGGTTCAAGACTGAACTTCTCCGAACTGAAATGAACTACTCCGATTTATTCAATTTCTATCACTTTCAACCCCAACTTTGAAAGATTATGACGAATACTACATTCTCGACCAAGATAAATCTCGACACCTAGGGGGAAGGGGGATTTACCTATATGTAAACCCCGAGGTGTCAGAATCCAATGCTTGTTTCAACTTTTGGAAGAGTGCTGGCATTAAAGAGTGGTGCACTCTGTTTTCTCAAAGTTTTTCTTAATTACTGTCATTAAAAAAATATTTTTAAACTTATAAGTTTTATTAAACACCTGCCACTAGCCAATATAATTTTTTATTACCTTTCAACTTTTTATAATATCAAATAAAATATTTGCCATGTTAGTTTTATTTTTAGTATCTAAAATGATTCGAGAAATAATTCAGATTAATTCTTTCTCAACTTTTATTATTGGGATAATTTTGAATACTTTACTTATAGTCCTTGTTTTAAATAAAAGTGCACCGGAAATGAAAGTTTTTAGTCATATTTTGCTTCAGACTGCTTTAACTGATCTTTTTATGTTGATTATTAATTTAGTCACCCAACCGGTTTGATTTTTGATTTTTCCGGAAGGGGTGGTCGAATATGAGCGGGTTGAGTGCCAGCCAAATTTGATTGACTATAACTTTTTTGCCAAATATCCTATCCGAATGAATCATATGTCTTTCGAAAGCTCTTGAAAAGCGGCATTTTTTTGCCAACTGGATAGATGAAGTCTGATCATAGTTTAAAAAGTTACAATCCAAGTAACGGGAAAAAACCAAATATAAGTGTATTATCGGGTTAAAACTTTTTAGTGAGCGATCAACCTAGTCTATCCAGTTTAAAAAAATCTTCCGCTAATCAAGAGCTTTCGAATGATATAAGATTCATTCATATGGATTCAAGAATTAAAAAGTTATAGTAAATCAAATCTGGCTGACATTCAGTTAGCTTATACTCAATTAGAGGTTTAATTAATAAAAATGTCTTTTCAAGATTTTTACTTTTGATGGCGATGCCTCTATTGTTGTGCTTAACAGTCCTTTTAATGCAAATATTATCCCCAAGGATATTTTACTTGCAATTTGGGATAATTGTTTACTATTTTCTATATTTTCACAAGCTGCTCAATTTATCTATAGATATTTATGTCTTAACAGGTTTCTACAAACAGACCCATTATACAATGCGAAAATACTAGATACAGAATCAATGAGAGGATCCCTATAGGCATCAGAGGTCGATCGGAATTCCGAGTTCCAACTTCCTATTTCCTAGTTCCGACTTTTGAGCCACTTCAGATTTTTGACAGTTCCGATTTCCAGCACCTTCATCATTTCCAATCGAACTCTGATTGGCATAGACTCACTCCCTATTAAACAACCTCTCATATAAGGTGCCAAACGTTCGGGGTCAACCCCTATTTTATAGTAAGGATTTTTAAGTAAAAATACACTTTAAAGAAATAGCAACATTACTTCATTTCAATATTTTTTATCAACGTTTGGTATTGTTCTTCCACTAAACTTTGTTTTATCTTTCTTACTTTATCTAACTGGAAAGCCTGAAAAGAACAATCAGTTGTGTTGTAATAATTTGGCTTTAATTGAAATCTTGGAAAGAAATGGGACTAATATTGAGCCTATATTACTCGCTCAAAAAGGGGTGAGTTTAACCCTTTTTTGGAGGGAATTTGTTGAACTAACTGACTAGTTCCATGTTTCCATGTCAGGAATCGAGCCTACCCGATTCCCGAAAATATGGAATTTCCAACATTTTTTAGATCCGTTCTCAGGAATTCCCATTCCTGAATTGAGTTGCCTCCATTAAAGTTATTCGAAAGCATTCTCCTTTACAGGACAATCTTAACTATACATATAAATAGAAAATTCGGTTTCGGATCTGGATATTCGAAGATTTCATAAGATCAGCAACTCTAAGTCTGATTCTCAAAAGTTTTCTAAAATACTTGGGAATCCCAGCTCTCACACCATTTAACTCAATAACTAATTTAGAATGGTCTAATCTATTCCTTTGTTTGGCTGCTTATTAGCATCCTTGTTTTGTTTGCCTATTTAATTATGCTTGTATCTGCTCGAGCTATGTCCTTGCATGTTCGATTGAAGCTTAAAGTTGACACCGACCGTTTTTCTGAAATTAATCAACAACTGACTTTGAATATTATTGCTTATGTAAATATTTATTTTTTATTCAATGGCCATAAATGGCAAAAATGGCCATTTGGGCTGAATTTTTAGTTGTTTAAAATAGGATTAGGAATAAAGCAATGTCTGACCAAAATATTGTCTGAACTTAGTTTATCGAATGTTTGGATGCCATAGGGAATTATTGTAGAGAAATTGAGGGATGGAAGAAAGTCTGACCATTATGCGATCATTTACCTAAACTCTAGCTTACAAAATTGCCTGGGGAATGAGTAGGGGAGTGGAACGACAATAGCATCTAGTAGTGATGGTCGGGAGTTAAAAAAACCGAGAGTCAGACCGGGAATTGACCCCGAGACCCAGAGTCGAGACCAAGAGATCGGGAGGGATATCACTTTATATACTTCCTAATCCCCAAAAAATCCCTATATATCCTTCATAATCCCCCAAATCCCTTGACTCGGGAACCGAGACCGGGAATCCCGACCATCACTAGTATCTAGTACCATAATTTATTGATAAACCTTACAGTTATTACTACCATTACTTACATTAATACCAATTTGGATTACTTGTATTTTTACACTTGCAAACTTATTCAGTCAATTTTCATCAACTTGGATTTTACAATTTGTATTTTATATTAATTTTAATTTTCAAATTAATTTTTTAGTTAATGCTAATTCGTTTGCCAATTCCTTGGATAGCTATATTTAATCCAATAGTTACCATTTTAACTTTAAGACATTACAGAAAGGCTTTTATTTCGTTAATTTTCAACTCGACTGGATCTGATTCTGTTGTGCCGTTAAATACGTTTACTGTGGGAATGCAAAGAAATAATACAAATAATAATACAATTATTACTAGATAATTAGTTAATTTTATTGTTTAATGAATATTTACTTAATATTAGTTTATTTGTTTTTGTTAATAATATCAGAGAAGACATTTAAATTAAATGACATTTTATCCCTACTCGCGTTTTTTGAGAATTTTAAATTTTGTTCGAAATATTAGAGAACACATTCAAATTAAATGACATTTTATCCCCATTCGCGTTTCTTGAGAATTTTGAATTTTGTGAATTTATTTGAATAATTAAAAAAGATTTTTTACAATCAACACGTTTCTAATTTAATTTAATATTTTTTTGCAAAATTTGATAAGACTTGGCAAACCCAATCCCGACTTGAATAATTTTCCAAGTGGGCTAATCATCTGGTATGGGGTCAGGCCAGGCTTTGACGTGTAGAGGAAAAGTTGGGCAAGATTTTGTGTCGGATTTTCAAAAATTTCTCTGTAAGCTATCATTTCAAAAAAATTGTCCAGGTATCGGAGTTTGAGTATCAGACTTCGGATTAACCTCAATGGTTCAAACGACTACTTTATTTTATTATTTAAAAATAAAAAATAATAATTAATACAATTAATATTTAATATATTTCTTCTTCATTTCATAAGGTGGCACATTCCAGCTTTTACGTAATTCATTAAAATACACTCGTTGTTCCTCTTCCCTACCAATTATTAATTTTTGCCCAGTTAATAAAGCTCTAGGTGATTTATAATTATTTAATCTCTTATTTGTATTTGTTGGTTGAGTTGGTGGAAACGGCAAAATTGAATTTATGGGAAGCTGAGGTTGTGGTTGTAGAGAATTATTTGATTTGGAGCAACATTTACGAATACAGAGACACGATGTCAATTGTTTTAGATGGGATTTGAAGGCTTCCAGCATTGAGGAATGAAACCTTAAAATATATTTTTAGAGGGGCTTTGTAGAGCCGTCCAAGAAAAGAATTTTCGAGTCTCAAGACCATGGTCGGAAGAAGATGGCAAGATTGAAGTAAGGACAGAAGATCAAGAGTCATGGACAGTTATATGGCTTTGAAGCCTACTGTAAACTTTGGGGGTTTCAAAAACACGAGCTTTGAGAGTAAGGTGGAAATAGCACCGGTCAGGCATCGATACTGGGGTTGGGGTCGTTTTGGCGCCGGGCCGTTTTGGCGCGAGGACTAAAAACTGGTACTTAGACGAGACCTAAATTCATGAAAACTTTGTCAAATTTCTTTAACATCTTGACTACCTCCTCCAGAAATTTCAGAATTTTTCATCAAATATTTCTGAAGTTATAGTCGATAGACCTCGAAAAATTAGGCATTTTTCAGAAAATCAACATTTTTGGCCATAGTTTCTAAATCTCTTGCTCAAAAATTCTGAAATTTTTGGGGAACTTAGATAAAGGTACGAGAGTTATTATTGCAAAATTTTATCATTTTTGATAATCAACTCGCTATCTTATAAGCTCGCGCCAAAACGGCCCCGCGCCAAAACGGCCCAGTCCCTCGATACTGTGACCTCTTGGAAGCCATTACATGACGCCTTCGCTTACAACGTAAAGTGGTTCTACCGACTGAGCTACCGTGCTTTCTTCTTCTTAAACCCTCTTAATATCTAACAGGCCTAGAATTCGAAAATAAAAAAACCATATTGCAGCAATTGGAATAGCATTTAATGCCACAGCCAGAACAAAATCGAAAGATTGTGAATATTCTACATTAAAATAATCTTTATTGTACGCTATCCGAATCATGACACAATCAAAATGTAGATTGCTTAAAATTTGTTAAATTTTAATGTAATTTTAAAAAAATTTTGGAAGAAATTTAGACCAAATTATGCTTTAGATTTTTAATTTACATCCCGTATTTTCATTAATAGGACTTCAAGAAAGAAGTCCAATGTTCCATCCTGTCAAATCTCGAAATATTCGGTTCGGATATGCAAGCCGAATTTTTTTGAATATCCTGATATTTATGTATCCGGATTCACCAATCCTAGTCTAGATATGTGGTCATTGTCGGACAAAAAATTCTTTAGAAATGAGAATTCTAAACCAACAAGCTATTTACATATTTAGAGACACTGGAACATTGCCTGCTTATGGGTTATAAATTCTATAAAATTAGATATGGATAGGATTTGGATCGGACATATGATATGGATAAGGACTTCAGATTTTTCAATTTTTTTCAATGTTTCGACAATCAAGATGGATCTTTCCCTCATTACACAATTAGAATTTCTTGATATTTGTTTGTTCATAAAAAAATTCCTTCATAAAAAAATTCCTCTGCTCCAAAATTTTTTTAAAAATCTTTTACTAACCAAACAAAAATAATAATTCCAACAGCCAACAAGAGCTTAGAAGACCGAACATTTTCAGCAAATTGATATCGCTGTACAAGATTGTGTTTGTTAGGCAATCGCGAAAATGCATAACAACGTTGATTGTAACGCAAAATTAAAACAAAAATTGCAAAACAAATAATCCAAATAACTAAGCGTACAGAGACGTCTATTATATGGTAAAGACCGTAATAACTTCCACGAAAAGTTATTACCCCATTTCGAATTGAAGAGTTGTTTAATTCACTTCCAATGTATATACCAATTGCTATACTGATTAGCAACTAAAAATTTTTTAAAAATTATTTTCTTAGATCTAAAAATAATTTATGAATCTCGAATAATATCTCCTAGAACATAAGCCACTTTCTTTCTCCGACAGCTAGGTTTGGTCCATTGCGAGATTTTTTTATATTATTTTTAGGGATGGCACTGACACAAAGTAAAATCCTCTTGGGTTTTTGACCGTATATACTTATTTAAGTCTTAATAACTTAGTAATAATCTAACATCTTAGACTTTTAGACTTTTTTCCCAAGACCCATAGTCTTTTAGCTGGATAAACAGGCTTCTTGAGAATTTAATATTAGTTTGATTATAATTAAAATTTTCTGGTGCATTAAAAGATGAAAAATCTTACTGTCAAAACAACTGCCCATATTCCAATTTTGGGCGATTTTTGTTGTTCATAATTTTTAGAGTAAATGGTAGCTAGAACTAAAAATAATTTTTAAAAATTATTCTTATAATTAAAAATATGTACCTCTTTCGAAGGTAAGTGGAACTATTATTGTTCGAAAGAACTTAAAAATTTAAAAAAATTTTACTTAATAAAAATTTACTGACCATAACAGCTACTTCATGGCCATAAACAAGCCAATTAAAAATATCTATATATAACACTCCAGTAAAAATATAATTAAATTCGGTTGGAAGACGAGTTAAAGCAACCTTTAAAATACATGTCAAGTTTATTAAATATTAAATTTGATAAAAATAAGCTTAAACTTAAAACACAAAAATAAACTTGAAAATAAGCTTGAACTTAAAAACACAAAAATAAACATAAAAACAAGCTTAAACTTAAAAACACAAGAATAAACATAAAAGCAAGCTTAAACTTAAAAACATAAGAATAAACATAAAAACAAGCTTAAACTTAAAAACACAAAAATAAACTTAAAAATAAGCTTGAACTTAAAAACAAAAATAAATTAAAAATAAGCTTAAACTTAAAAACACAAGAATAAACATAAAAACAAGCTTAAACTTAAAAACACAAAAATAAACTTAAAAATAAGCTCGAACTTAAAAACACAAGAATAAACATAAAAACAAGTTTAAACTTAAAAACACAAAAATAAACTTAAAAATAAGCTCGAACTTAAAAACACACGAATAAACATAAAAATAAGCTCGAACTTAAAACACAAAAATAAACTTAAAAATAAGCTTGAACTTAAAAACACAAGAATAAACATAAAAATACTTAAACTTAAAAACACAGGAATAAACATAAAAACAAGCTTAAACTTAAAAACACAAGAATAAACATAAAAATAAGCTTAAAAACTTAAGAACACAAGAATATACTTAAAAATAAGCTTGAACTTAAAAACACAAGAATAAACATAAAAATACTTAAACTTAAAAACACAGGAATAAACATAAAAATAAGCTTAAAAACTTAAGAACACAAGAATAAACATAAAACAAGCTTAAACTTAAAAACACAAGAATAAACTTAAAAAGAAGCTTGAACTTAAAAATACAAAAATAAACTTAAAAATAAGCTTGAACTTAAAAATACAAAAATAAACTTGAAAATGAGCATGAACCTGAAAACACAAAAATAAACCTAAAAATAAGCATGAACTTAAAAATACAAAAATAAAATTAAAATAACGCTTGAACTTAAAAACACAAAAATAAAGTTTAAAATACGCTTGAACTTAAAAATAAGCTTGAACCTAAAAATAAATAAAATATACGTTAGAATAGACTTGAAATTAAAGTGAACTTAAGTTTATTATTATTTTTCGTGTTTTATTATTTCAGTTTAAATTTTAATTAAATATTTAAATAACCCACCAAAATCAAACAACTCGAAAAAGAGGCTAAGAGAACACGTAAATTATTATGAAGATCTTGTCTGCTCCACAGAATGAAGATAAAATAAATATTTGGTATTAATGCTGATATATCCAACATTAATTCTGCCAATGCAATTGCAAAATTTATGGGTGCTGGGGAGGATTTTGTGGATGATGTGTTATTGTTTGTATCCATTGGAATAATTATTTATTTAATTTAGTTTATAAAAATAAACTTAAAATACGAGAATAAAACTAAAATACAAGAATAAACTTGAAATACAAATAATAACCTAAAATACAAGTTTAAACATAAATTATAAGTAAAACTTGAATACGAAAAATAAACTTGATTTACAAAATAAACGTTAATTACAAAATGAAACTTGTAATACACAAAATAAACTTGAAATTAAAAAATAAACTTGAAAAACAAATAATAAACATAAAATACAAAAATAAACTTGAAATATCAAACTTTATTTTTGTATTTTATTTCTGTAATTCAAACTCATTTTGTGTTTTGTTTTTGTATTTTAAATATGTCAAGCTTTGTATTTTAAATTTATTTTTGTATTTATTAAAATAAATATTTTATATTTACATTATTTCAAAATAATTTAAAAAAATATATTTTCAAAATAATAATTAAATGTATTTTGCTAAAAAATAAATTTAAAATTTTATATTTGGAAACTATTTAATTACTATGTTTCTAAACAAATAATTAAATTATTTTTATTTTGCTAAGAAATGTTGCATTTTCTTATAATAATTTTGGCACACCTTTTTGGTGTTTTGAAAGTTTTTTTAATTTTACGTCAAATTTTAAATAAATTTTTAACTGATTGGGGAAAAACAAGAACGAGAATTTAAGTAGAAATAACACAAATATATTCCAAAATCCATAACATCACTTTATTGTTCCCACAAGGCCTGAGACTAATTCTTATAAGCTTTTATTTACCCAAAAATTAAATAAAAGGAATAAAAAATAAAAGCTTATGGCATTGAGTAATTTCTTCTTATTTTTAGCCAATTTATTAATGAGAAAATGTGTGGGTGTTTGCTTAATATAGTCATAACTAGGACACGATAATAAAATTAATCAAGTTTTAAGTTTAAACTTGATACTAATTCTAAATATAAATTTTTAAGTTTAAACTTGAAATTAATTCTAAATATCAAGTTTCAAGTTTAAACTTGAAATTAATTCTAAATATCAAGTTTTAAGCTTAAACATGTTATTAATTTGCAATGTCAAGTTTTAAGTTCAAACTTGATATTAATTCTAAATATCAAGTTTTAAGTTTAAACTTGATATTAATTCTAAAAATCAAGTTTTAAGTTTAAACTTGATATTAATTTTAAAATAAAGTTTTAAGTTTATACGTGATATTAATTCTAAATATCAATTAAGCTTAAACTTGATATTAAATAAGTTTTGATTTTAAGTTTTCGAAATACAAAAAATTAAAACTTGGCCAAGTTTATTTAATTTCATTGGTTTTTATTTGTTTCAAGTTTTTATTTATATAAATAAACTTATACAGGTTTATAATATTTCTATGGTTTTATATTTACTAAGCTCAAGTTTCAAGATTTTATTAATAAAATAAACTTGCCCAAGTTTATTCTATTTTTGGTGGCTTCTATTTATTTGCATTGCTTAGATAAATAAAGCAATTTAATATTAAATAAATTAGGCCAAAGAATAAATAAGCACTGCAACTTAATTGGCATAACTGAATAAAAATCTTCCTTAAATAAAGAAAATATTTTTTTATATAATTAAAGCCTTGGAAAAATTATTTAAAAGACCAAAAATTATTAAAAAATTATTTTCGCAAGTTATTACAGTGCTATACGTCCACTCAAAATTTTGGGTTTTATCACATTACTTCGCCAAGTTTGGAAATAAGTTTTGGAAGACTTCGCCAGGCTTGGAAAAATTTTTGGAAGACCAAAAATTATTAATAAATTATTTTTGGAAGTTATTTCAGTGTGCGTAATAACTATACGTCCATTCAAAATTTTGGGTTTTATCACATTAGTTTCTATTTATTTGCTTGGGCAAATTTTTTAATTTCATATTTTTTATATAATTAAAGCCTTGCAAAAATATTATGGAAGACCAAAAATTATTTTGCTTATTAAAAGAAAATAACAGGGTGCCCCAGTGGGCGCCAGATCATTTAGGCGCGTTCCTCAACACTGTCACGTAGCCGATACATATATTCTTCAGAATTTTCTCAAATTTCCTTATCAACTAGACCATCTCCTCCATAAATTTCAGAAATTTTAGCAAATATTTTTGAAGTTATAAAAATAAAACTAGAAAAATTAGGTATTTTTCACGTTATTGAGACATTCATGGTCATAATTTACTACCACCTCATAAATTGTGAGATACCTCATTATAGGATACAAATTTTTCAATCCCAGAGGTTTATCACATAATGAGGTTTAAAAATAAAAATATAAATTATTTAAAAAATAATGAATAATTTTATGTAAATATTTTCTATTTAAATAAAGTTAATAAAATGATTAAATAATGTTATAAATAAAATTAATGAAGGTGTTCCATATATTTGAAATATTAAATTAAACAAATTTTCCCGAGCTAGATAATTTTAGAATAAAATTTCAATGAGTTTTTTAATTTTTTATTTCTGTAAAAATTAATATTTTTCAAACTACAGAAATTTATAAAATTAATAAAGTTAACGATAAATTTGTCTAAAAATATTATTAAAAATAGACTTTAATAAATTAATTTTCTGTGAAAAATTTAATTTTTTATTTAATTTTTTTTATTCAATGTCTGTGAGATTTTAATTAAAAATAAATTTTATTAAAGAAAAATAATTTTAACGAAATGTTATTCTTAAAATGTTTAAAATAAATTTTTTGGGTAGATCGTTTTCTTGGAATAAAATCTAAATATTATAGGAGCATTTTAAAAATTTTTTGGTAAAAATTTTTTGGAAAATACATAGTATAATTTAATTCAAATAAATTACATCCTATACCTTTTGTAGTGTTACATTTTTCTATAAAAGTAAACTTATTTTCTTAATTTTGTATTCTTTATTATTTGTTTCATACTACTCCTTATTTGTTTTTTAATATATTATTCCTTTAATATTTATAGGCATATTTCATTTTCTGCAAGTAATTTTGTTGAGGAGTTTTATTTAATAGAGAATTTGGAAATGTATCTACGGAATATATTGTGAGCGAATATATCCAATCACTTCCAAAATTGAATTTGGTACAGGATCGAATATTGCTACGAATTGTTAAAAAATACAAGTATAGAAGCAGATGAAATATTGTACACTTAAGGTTTATTAAGCCAGCTTATGTAGTCGGAAAGTATTTTTTATTCAGAAAATGTTGTTTTTATTCCTTCTAGTTTTCAAATTGGTTATTGATTTTTAATTTTGTTGCTATCAACTTTAAGATCGTCTATGCGAACTTTTTTACTTTCACTGTTTGTTTAAATTTTTCAATTTTATAAATTTAATTTCTAGGATGTCAAGTAATTTATTTATCAAAATCCAACGAATGAAAGTCAATTGATATCGTTAAAATGCCGAATCTTTTTACAATAATTTTTTTACTTGCCAAATACATGACTCATTGTTTTATCATTCTATTTATGACAAAAAGTGGAAATTGCGAAATTCCAGGCCGTCATTTAAAATGTCAATACTGGCTAAAAGAAAAATCGATGTTGGAAAGAGAAACTATTGAAAGAGAGAGGAAAAATTAAGTAAATATGTAGAAATATTTATTAAAGTATTATGTAACTACCTAACTACTATTTATATTTTTATTTTTTACAATAAATCTTTTAAAAAATTATTTTTCATTTTCTATCTAGAAAATTCTAAAAAATGGAAAATATTTCTTTTAATTTTTACCCTTACTATTTTTAATTTATAACACATTCCATGAAATTTTTTAGGTAACTACCTAGATCTAATTTCGTTAACTGGCCTTATAATAATCTTCTCTCCAATCTTTTTTTACATTTACATATAACAATTTTTTTGGAGCAAGTGAATAACTTCAATGAATTATTATATTATTTTTTACACCCTATAATTATGCATGATAAACAAGTAAACAAAAAATTCCATGATTATCACGTCATCCCACTCCATTTTCTTTTCATCTCCATACATTTTTCTCTTTAAAATTACAAATGGTTAAACGCTAACAGACAAATACCTACCTATATCCTTTATGAACCCAATCCAAGTGTTCACTGTTAAAACTCGGAAACAAAAGGAAAACACGATGACAAGAACTCAACGGTTATAGGGACCTGAATCTAGTGTAGAATCCTAGGTTTTTCTGGCTCTGTTCTGATTCTAATTCGATTTTTATAAGTACAATGTCTGCCCAATTTTTGCCTGATATAATTTTTAGTACAAAATGAGGAGTAAAACGGGTGCTGATAGTTTGAAAAGCGTTGCTATGGTAATAAATATAATTCTAAAAATATATTTTTTGAATAATTCTTGAGTATTTTAACCTAAACTACTAAAATTTCATTATTATTTGTTTAAATAGATTTTCTAAAATTTATTTTTAAATGTCTTCGTTGATTAAAGAAGGCTTTATACAACGTTATAAAGCTGGATTTTTAATTTCTAACAAATGGAAAAGTAATTATGCTGTTTTATATTCTGATTCAACACTTGCATTTTTTAATAATAGGGTAAATAATTATTTAAAAATTATTTTAAATATTTTATGACGGGTTAATAACATAGACAATGTGAATTTTGGAGCTAAACGGGAGTGAAATCATTACAGGCATCTTATTTGTTATTATGTTTGGGCGGAATTGGTTTCCCTTAGAATAAAGCAAGGGTGGATTCCGTCTCGGAAAACCAGGTTTTGAGCGACAAACGGGATTACCGTATTTGCGGAGTTAATCCCACAGGATTCTGCCACGTTTTAACTTCTTAAACTCAATCTCGTTACAATATCTCGGGATTGTAATTCTATCCTCTATAGTCTGAATCCTCACTATGAGTTAATTTTTATATCCCCCCTTGTCTTATTTAAAATTTTTTTGGAAAATTTGAAAATATCTGGCCAACTCAATCACAAGTTACCTAATTATTCAAAGATAAATAAATTTAAAAAAATTTAAATGTCAGGGTGATGCAAGACCAGTCGAAACAATTTTTCTAAAAAATGTTGTCCCTTACACCTGTGTTGGATTCATGTGTGATAGGATGCCTGTCCGTCGTCCATCTCTACCGCAAGGTGTAGCTGTTCAACGTTTGGTGGGTATTGGAATGGATCCGCAAGCCTCAAAAGTTCATTGGATTCTTTTTCCATCAGAACAAATATTAGAGTATGTCTATTACTTCAGTCAGACCTACTATAAGATACAGTCATAAAGGTGCCCGGCACCAAATAAAAGCAGACCGGCTTTTCAGATGTACGACTCACAAATTTAGTCAAGTGGCGACTTCTTTCGGGTTGAAAAATGTCTTGGTAAAAGGCATTTTGCATTCTATTGGTTAGGGATGGGGAAGCTGCTCAAGCTGTACCCTTACTTAAATATATGCCTCATTATAAGACACAGCTTTCCAACCCTAAAGGTGTATCTTATAGTAAATGTTTGGCTTTAACACATATACCTCTTCAACCTTAGAGAATGGATGAATGCTATCCTTTCGACTCTACCCAAACCACCACCAAATCCTTCACAGAATACTCCTCAACAGCCTACAAGTGAAAAAACTTTTGGTTTTAATTTGAGTTAATTAATAAAATTAATTCCTGTTAGTTCCCCCAGCAAGATACCCGGACGCCCCACCTGCTTATCCAACACCACCAATGTCAAATACTTATCCTTCCAATGTTCAGCAGCCGCAACAGGTGGATAAGAAAATTCTCTTCTAATTTTCTTTAACTGATTTAAGAACCCTTATGGAGCGAGACCTCAATATCCACAGCAACAACCTTATTATCCTCCCCCACAGCCTCAAACAGTAATTATTGATCGTACATCAACAGCCTATGCTCAGTAAATTTTTTGATTTTAAAAATTTTTAAGAGATATAACCTCACTTAAGACTCACCCAATATTAGACACACCTCTGTTTTAAGATCGTTTTGGGACCATTTAAGACTGAGCGCCAAGGTATTCTGCCGTTATTTTTAGTCTATTTTGGCGTTATGGAGTTTGGCGTGTTTTAAGAATTTGAAAAATTGGCGTTGAAAAAAGGCTTAAAATAATTTGGCATACGACCCTGGTTTTAAGCGATACCCTCTATTTAATATACACTTCATTATAAGAGATAATATTCTCAACCCCAATCTTATATCCTTTGTCCTTAACATAATTTTAAGACCAACTGCTACTTCCACATTTGGCACTGGATTAGCAGCCGGAGCTGGAGGGGCACTCCTTGGCTCTCTTCTAGGTTACGGTATTGGCAGTATGTTTGCACCACATGGGGGTTGGGGAGGTGGTGGATGGGGAGGGGGTTATGGAGGTAGTGGGTTTGGTGGAGGATATATACAGGTTACCTAGATTTATTAATCTAAACGAACCAAATTTAAAGGATAATGATACTTACATAACTAACAATTATTATATGAATGATGATAATAATCAGAGCTCAATACCTGTAGTGAACGATGTTACTGACTCTACAGGTAAATGCCTGGGTACAGGGAAGGGTTGCCCGTGAAACCCGGTACTTGGACTTTTTACGACCCAGAACCGATCCTATCTTTTTTTCAATCCGACCCGTCACTGATATTGGGATTTTAGTTTGTCTCATGGAGGTTCTGTAGTGAAATTTAGGCCGGATTCTGGACTTAGGCCGGATTCGAGAAGTAGACAAACAGGCCCTTATTCATATAACTGAGCGCTCCATTAGAACTGTCCATTGAAGCTAAAAACTTACCTATTATTTAGATTATTCTCATCCTGGAATTACCGATTATAGTGGCGGAACTTATGACTATGATGGAGGGGGAGCTTGGGATTCAGGTGGAGGCTTTGACAGTGGTGGAGGATTTGATAGTGGAGGTGGATTTGATAGTGGTGGTGGTGATTGGTGAAAATTAATTTTCTGAGTAGTGATAAAGTTATAAAGTGAAAATATTGATGTTTACTTTTAATTATAAAATAAAGTCTTAATCAAAACTTCGAATTTGTGAATAAATTAGAAGCTCGTACATCCAGCTACAATAAATACAATAATTATTTCGTTATATAATCTTTAAAATCCTTAATAATTCCCTCATTTTTTTAATTGATTCAGATGTTGATGAACAGTTGCAACTAACTGAACCTTTGGAGCAATACTTGATTTAGGGTATATTAACGGTATCTTTCGTAGGAAGCTTCTAAGCCAAGGAAATTCTTTATTCAGAGCATTTCGATATTCCGAGCTGTAATTTTAATAAGATTTTGGATCAAGTTAAATTCAAAAGTTTAGACATCACATAAGATGTTTATACTTCGGATACTCGGAATAAATCTCGAATACTCGGGATACCTTCCGAAAAATCGGAATTAATTTTATCTGACGGTAGGATCGCTAGTTTCCGGATTATTTTGATTGTCTTATAAAAATTTTTCATAGGAAAAATTTTTATATGTATAACTGGACAATGTATAACTGGACAAGTATGTATAACTGGACAAGTCTAAAATTTTTACAATCATTTCCTACCTGCAAAAATACAAAATTGGGGCATTTATTGCACCCGAGATCGTTACAAGCTGAGCAAATAGACGAGTATAAAAAAATATCATTTCAGGATCATTTGTTATTAACGGAGTAATAAATTTAGCGCAGGACGGTCCAGTTAAGGTTAAAAATACTATGACAATTATTATTACTATAAGTGATCTGTAGATCCGTTTGGTTTGAAGATGTTGAACACTTGATTCTCCGCTCTGATATACTAAAATGATAAATCATCATACATTATCAATTAAAAATTCGCATAATATTACTAGCCCTAGGTTTATCGGTTCGTGATTTTCGGTTCGGATAAAGATGGCGGATCCGGATATACGAACCATTGATAATCACATGTCTTTGAATCCGATCGGCCTGTCTAGCACTTTCATAATAACTCTACATTTAAAATAATTAAATTTTCAAGTCGAAGCGGATCCGATTGAATTTTCAGGATTAATCGGTCCGGAAATTAGCCGAACTTGGAACAGGATTATGTTAATAGCAACATTAGAAATTTAAACTTAATTAAACATACATTTTATAATAATTCCAACAATAATATAATTAAAAATAGTAACCAAAGTAACCGAAATTGACACATAATAACCAAAACTAAGTATATCGCCTCCAATTTGTTCTGGGGTGTTGCAATAGACTTTTCTATAGGGTAATTTAAGTTTAGAAATTTTTTGTCTAATAACATACATTTCCGGGTTTTCAAGAGCATAGTTAAAGCCAAAAATCATAAAAATGAAGCTATAACTCAAAGAGAATGTATTAAGAACCATTACATATTTAACGGCCCCTTTCTTTAGGACAAAGCGGTAACTGAAAATAAAATGTTATTTTTATTCTAAAAAATGTATCTAAAAAAGCAGGTTAGGATGGTATCTTATAAACATTGAGTCTGTTAATGACGTATATCTCACAAATCGCTTAGGAAGGGAGCAGGCCAACGTACCGCGAGCTCAACGTACTGCAGAGCTATACTTCGTTAAAAACAGTCTAATCTGGGATGCCTTGGTATGTTTCGTTGTATACCGACGAGCTGAATCAAACAATATCAGGGCGTCCCGGATCTGAACATTTTGAACGAAGTTATAGCTCTGCGGTACGTTTGCCTTGCGGTACGTTGGGGTGTAACAGCTTAGGAATTATCTCAACGCACTGGTCAAGTTCAAAACAAGCTCATTATGACAAGTACCGCGATCTATGTCGCTCAATCACTGCTTGTTACACAAATAATTCAACGTTAAATATTTCTGTTACTCAAAACATAAGAAAATTTAGGGAATAAGAGGAAGGGAAAAAAGCTCAAAATGGTCAGTGAACGAGGAAAGGATAACTAAGGGCGTATTAATACTAATTTTAAACTAATTTATAAAATTATTGGAGACTTACAATACTGGGAAAAGTAGAGCAAGAATACGGTCTACGCTAATGAACAACATATTAAAGATGGAATTTATCCCAGCAACTATATTTTGCCAGCTGGTAGCAAAAGAGCAATAGGTTATAGGAATTTTTGTGTGCATTATCACTAAAATTGTTGGCAAGAATGTTCCAGACTCGAGAATTGCGTCACATAGACAATTAATAGAAAGAAGCTGTCCAAAACTTGTTTGGAGATTTCTGAAATTTTTTATAAGAATATAGTCGATTGCTCCAAGTTTAAAAAAGTTGTTATATTAGACTCAGTTTTTCGAGCTCCAATTGGTTCAGAGTTCGTGATTTTGTTTTAGTTATCATTAGACTAGATCAACAAGCCGTTTTGAACGATTTGTCAATTGTATATTATATAAAAGCATCCCAAAAATACAGTACAACCTATAGTCCCTTCCTCTCTCTCACTCAGTCCACAAAAATTTCCGCGAATTGAACTTGATACAATTCAATTTAGCTCGAAAAATTGAGTCGCATAGAAGCGGTTTTTAAAGTTTGGGTCTGGTATTTCGAAAAATACAGAAATTCAACGTACTTGTGTTTGTAGGTCACCCATACGACTGTCAAATTAAGAATAATGCCAACAATGGAAATCGACTGTTGTATGAGTATTATTAAGAGGTCGTGATAATAATTTTCATCCATTACACTTTTAACTCTACTAATGCGAAAAAATGAAAGAAAATCTTTTAAAGTATTTTTAATTTATAATAATTTAATATTTTGGCGGAGGTAAAAGGAATGTTTTAACTTCTAAAAAAAATTTTTTTAAATGAATAAAATTAAAATAATCAGTTTAAGAATTAAAATAATAATTAAATAAACCACAAAAACCCCAAGATTTTTCTATAAAAAATTATAATTTAATTTACATAATAAAGCCTTTTTTCACTTAAATTTATTAAATAACATTGAAAAAAAGCTTTATTTGACTAAATTTTATTTAATTTAACTTAAAAGTTAATTTAAATTAATTTAACTTTTGAGGGACAGACATCCCCCACAAGCGGAAGCTCGTGTTCAAGTACAACAAGATATAAAAAATTATTATAATAATTATTATTATTATTGAATAATTATTCAGAGTCGGGGGAGTATTCTGGCATTATACAGTGATTCGAAGAGCACATCAGATTCTTATTCAGAGGCATTCAAGCTTATTGTATTCATTCTATTCGACAAGTTTATCAAACGTTAGTCAAGTGTAGTCAAGTTTGGATTAAACACTGATGCTGTTAAAGATTGTAAGTATTAGTAGGACCAAGTTGAAAAAATTGATAAAAAGATTATTCGATGAATATGAGGCCAATAGCAGTATTAGAGGCATTCGGTGGAATAGGATGTATACAGGTATTTGTGGTGAATGACTGTTGGAATAATTCTAAGCTTGACTACAATTAGCTTAGGGGATTAAATTTTAAATTTAACTATAATCTGTTACCACTTTTGCGGCATTTTAGCAAACTCTACCTCTATACTCAACTCATGTATTGCAAATATTGGTCCGTAATTAAATAAAATTCCAAAAAGTTGAGTCCGCTGATATTATATTGATATATCTTCAACTCTTTAAAATATATTTGGTTTTATTTGCCAAATATATGACTTTTAGTTCTATCATTTAATTAAACGTGAAAGGAAAATTGCGAACATATTCTACATAGGTCTTTAAATTGTTTAAATAGATCTAATGGGAATCGATGTTGGAACGTGAAAAATATGAGAGGGAAAGAATTATTTTAGTAAATAGAAATATTTAAACTTTTATTTTCAAGTTCACTAAAAATTATTTTCCCTTTTTCAAATAAAAATTAAAAAAAACTTTCCGATTATTTTATAAATCCAATCTTTTATTCAAACAAGGGGAAAACGGTTTCTTGACTTTTGCGCCGATAACATTTGCGCCGCGACTTTTGCGCCGCCACTATCATTAAAAATATATCAATAACTACAGCCTGACCTAACTATAGTAGGGTTGTGGCGGCGCAAAAGTCGCGGCGCATAAGTCGTGATACCGGGGAAAACCAGTTTATTCGAGTCCAAAAATGAAGACCTTCACCTCGATGACATCTTGAAGACTTATTAGAATCATCTTGAAGACCTACTTGAAGACCTATTAGATTGTGGGATTTGGAGGGTTAAGGTGGTATTGGTGTGGTTGAACTGAGATCGCTACTCAACGCATACACTCGCAAATGCCATACTTATAAAATACATAACTGGATAGTTATCTCCATTGAACTAGGTCCTTATCCTCCTTAATCTTTTGATATTCCATCTCAAAATTATAAGTCTTCAAGGTCAATAGGCATTTGGTGTGAGGTCTTCAAAGACTTTATTTCAAAAATTAATTCTAACCTTCTACTAACATTCCTTTTTGACTGTTCATTATCTTTTAAAATAATATAGATTATTAAAAATATTTTTTAAATGTCTTCAACAGTTAAAGAAGGCTATGTACAACGATATACAGCTTATTTTTTTTATATATGGAAAAGTAATTATGTTGTTTTATATTCTAATTCAACACTTGCATTTTTTAAAAATAAAGTAAATAACTAGGCTAGAGTTCGTTTTATGGTTCTAATCCAGATATGTATGATTTTTATGTAATTCGAAAGAGCTCGTCGAGCTGAGTTTCGAATGAGCTATTATTTGTACAAAAAAATTTTTTATTAAAAAAATCGTTCCTTTGGAACTTAGATTTTTAGGGTCCTACATCTCGGACCATTTCGAGCCTTATCTCGTTTCACAGGTGAGTCCGCGCGCTAATTTTTATGACGTTCGACTCAGCTCGACGAGCTCTTTCGAATGACATATAAATCATCCTTATCTGGATCAGAACCATAAAACGAACTTAAGCCAATAAATATATATTACGACAATTGCGGATATGCAATTGTCGATGTGACTACAACAGCTGACAGTTCTGGAAATGACAATTGCAGATATAAAATTTAAGTGCCAACCTGTTTTGAGGGAGAAAACGGAAAATGATTGGAATGCCAGTCTATCCCTGACAGTTTTCATACGATTTTTTTAGCGTTATGCTAATGACTTGAGTAAATAATTATTTTTTATATTATATGTATTGTATTTGCAATTGTCTAATACTCATTTAATTGGCGTACCGTCAATAAAAATTTATCAAGAAATTTTTAATGTCAGGGTGATGGAAGCCCTGTCAAGACAGTTGTTCTAAAGAATGTTGTTCCGTACATATGTGTTGGATTTATGTGTGATTGGATGCCTGTCCGTCGTCCATTTCTATCGCGAGGTGTATCTGTTCAACGTTTGGTTGGTATTGGAATGGATCCTCGGGCCTCAGAAGTTCATTGGATTCTTTTTCAATCGAAAACATTTTAGAGTTAATATTTTTTAACCATTTGGACCTCAATAAAATATAATATCTTAATTAATAGAGAATGGATCAATGCCATTATTTCAACTTTACCTCCACCACCAAAGCCAATTGGTTGGTGTGTAAATCCGGTATTTAAGATAGAAAATTTTTTTTTAATTTAAAAATAATTTTAGCCAGCCGGTGCTGGTAATGCACTCCAAGTCTCTCTTCGAGCTTACGGGTTTGGTCGCCATTTTGCCACACGTGGAGGGAGGGGAAGGGGTAATGGAAGAAGATATAGTGGTGGCGGAAACGGTTTCAATTTGTTTTATTAAGGGGCTCGTGTCCATAGTTTATGTATTCAAAATTGGTTAATGGATTTTAACGGCCTACAGCTTCCTCTAGAATATAAAAGTTTGTTACATATTATCTATTTTTAGATGATAATGGTGGAGGGAATACTTGGGATTATGATGGTGGAGATTATGGTGGTGGTGGATGTGATAGTGGTTGGGGTGGAGGTTTTGATAGTGGTGGCGGTGGATGTGATAGTGGTGGAGGTGGTTGTGATAGCGGTGGTGGCGGTGGCTGTGATAGCGGTGGTGGCGGTGGCTGTGATAGCGGTGGTGGCGGTGGTGGTGGAGATTGATGAATATTATCATTTGAGACGAGATAAAACATTTACAAAAGTGTTGATATTTAACTTCCAAAAATTTGAAAATTAAATAAAGAAGAATATCGTTATGGTACTATACTTTTACTCATTTATTAGGGCGATAAAAAGGTTCTACTGTATGTCAAAAATTTAATCACAATAATTATTTAAATCGTTTCATATATTATCAAGTAATTGAATCGGCATTCTTAATTGATAAAAATACATATTTCAAAAGAAAATTTGGGAGGTTATAAGTATGGTGTTCATGGAGGGTATAAGTGGATGTGTGGATAGAGTGGATCTAATGACTTTGGGTTTCTACATATACATTAAGGCTGGGTTCGAACCTAATATCCAGAAAAGTTCCAAACCAGTTCCAGACCTCTACCAGTTCCACGGTTCCAGTTCCAAACCGGTTCCAGACCATTACCGGTTCCAGTTCCGGAACTGTAACTGGAACTCTCGCATCACTGCCTCTAACTTTTCCAGTTCATCTTCTGCGACATTTTTGCATACTCGACACGATCCAAGTCGTGTACGCAAATATTGGTCCGTAATTTAATCAAATTTCTTGAGTCCACTGATATTATTTACATATATCACCTTTTGATATATCATTTTTTGATCTTCATATTTTGATAATTAGTTTTTATTTGCTAAAAGATGACTAACAGTTGAATCATTCTACTCAAACGGAAATAAAGTTGCGAAATTATTTAGGTTTTTAAATTGTTTAAATAAATTTAAAGAGAATCGATGATGGAAAGTGAAAAATACGAGAGCGGAAATAATTATTTTACTGAATAAAAATATTATTTAGTAAATAAATTATTGGTAATATAAATTATTGGGTAAATAAGAACCTTTTTTTATTCACATTTTTAGATTCATTAAAAAATTATTTTTCATTTTTCTTGCTGATAGATTAGAAAATTTTTTTCCGATTAGTTTATAGATCCGATCTTTCATTTAAGCAAGGAGGAAACTGTTTATTCGAGTTGCTCGAAGCTTAACCTTCACCTCAGAGACTTACACTCATAAAAATATTTTTTAAATGTCTTCACCAATTAAAGAAGGATATTTACAACGTTATAGAGGTGGATTAATTCCAAATAGATGGAAAAGTAATTTTGTTGTGTTATATTCTGATTCAACACTTGTATTTTTTAATAATACGGTAAATAAGTTATCCATTGCCAAGTCTGGCCAAAATTCCGTACACCACCAGGAATGCCAGGCGAACCTTGTCAGTTTTCATACGATTTTTGGATCTGTTTGATGCTAAAGACTTGCGTAAATTATATTTATCCGTTATATCTCCAATTGCCTAATACTCATTTATTTATCCGTAATAAAAATTTTTCAAAAAATTTTTAATGTCAGGGTGATGGAAAACCTCACGAAACAGTTACACTAAAAAATGTTGTTCAGTACACGGCTGTTGGATCCATGTGTGATAGGCTACCTGTCCGTCGTCCATCTTTTCCACTTGGTGTTAGAGACAAAGCTGTTAATCGTTTGATCTGTATTGGAATGGATTCACAAGCCTCTAAAGCTCACTGGATTCTTTTTCCATCAGAAAGGATATTAGAGTTAATATTTTTTAATTACTTTTGGAACCTAAGTTCAGTTGTATTTTAATAATTTTATTTTTAAAATTTAATAGAGAGTGGATATTTGCCATTATTTCAACTTTAACTCAGCCACCACCTCAACCATCACCTCAACCAACATTAAGGCCAATTGGTTGGTGTCTACCGGTATTCAAGATATAAAAAATTCTTTCGAATTAAAAATAATTTTAGATTCCAGATGCTAATTCATCTAGTTGTAGCAATTCATCAGTGCCGGCTGCTGCAAATGCAGCAGCCGGCACTCGTTCATCAACCGGCACAGGAAAACCAACACTGGCTGCTGGTTTGAAAGTCGCCTCTGGTTTAGCAACCGGTGCAGGAAAGGTTCTCTCCGTCTCTCTTCAAGCTTTTCGTTTTGGTTACATGCTTGCAACACTTGGAGGAGACTCATGAGGATTATTTCTTGATTAGAACATTTATAAAGTGAAATATTGGTGTTTAACTTCCAATAATTTAAAAATTAGATACAAACGAATCTCGTTATACGTAGCAGGGGTGGGTCGGAATTCCAATTTCCGAAAAAATTTTTGATTTCCTATATCCGAGTTCCGACTTTTAAGCCAGTTCCGATTTCAGGCTCTTCCGATTTCCGACACGGCTGACTGTTCCGACCCACCTCTGATACATAAGTATACTGCTATTATTGTTATACATAAGTATACTGCTATTATTAGTTCTATCATTTTAATTAAACGTGAAATGAAAATTGCGCATTTATTCTATGTCTTTTAATTAGTTTAAATAGATCTAAAGGGAATCGATGTTGAAACGTGAAATATACGAGAGTGGAAATAATTATTTTAGTAAATAAAAATATTATTTAGTGAATAAATTATTGTCCAAATTATTTTTATTTTCCAGTCAGTGATTGTAAATTTAAACAAGTATAGCATGGAAGAGCATAGTTTGGTGGGCAATAAATGCATGGATTAAAAGATAAAGTCGGAGATATTGTTAAATTATGTGCTATCCCTCCAAGCCACCATCCATAGGGTTGAGTTGGCTGGCAAGGTAGAAGATTATAGCAATTTTGTTCTTCTTGTGCTTGATCATCTGGACACTAAATTTGTTGAATATAACCTTATTGTAAGATACCCTCAGATAAATACGCCTCTATTTATATGATACGTCAAAAATTGGGTATTCAAAATGGAGCTGTCTAAACTCCATTACTTATGATATCTGATTTCATCTATTAGAAAAACCCTCTCTATTTGAAGGACCCTTCTAATAGACTGATCCTTTGGAGGAAGTTTTAAACATAGAATGACTCGCCTGTCAATCAGAGATAATACGGTAATCTCATTAGAAAATACAAAATTTTTTTTGCCCAAAGGTGTATATTACATTAAGATCCGACTATATTTTTAAAATTTTATTAAAAAAAACCACATTTGAGCATGAACAAACACGCATTCTAATACGTATTCCTGTTCCACAGGTTGATGAACATGCACTTTAAAGAATTGTTAATGGCACTTTAATTCCCTTTACCTCCAATTAGACCATTCACTCCAATGGCATTGAAGGTGTTCTAATGGGACAATTCCTGGCGATTCATAGTGAATTTGATTTAATGGACAATTCTGTTGTTCCATAGATTCTCCGGGACATAATTGGCATTCAACGGAAGACGAAGAAGCTTAAATATTTTAGGGGTTCCAAAGTTTCCTTTACTTCAAGTACTAAAAACTTGAATAATACCTCCTAAAGGGTGTGCCATACCAGCTACATCACATCTACTTTTATCGCAAACTCTCCATCTTGTTCTAAATGGAGCTGAATTTCCACTTGGAAAATGGTTACATTCTGTCCATTCACTCCATTGACCCCAATCAGCATTAGCTATTATTGTTGCTTGATTGAATTGATGAATTTCGGAGGAATGTGGTACTTAAATATTGTGTGATATTAGATATGTATTGTGTCAAAAATCCAGGTATTTTCCTCAATTCAATTCAATGGGATAGACATTTTGTTGGAAGGAACGGGTTGATTTTGTAAATCTTTCTTCGTGATTCTCTTCCATTTACTATAGTGATTCTTACGTTTGTTAATAGAGCTGCCCCATGACGTCTTACCCAATCTCGAACCTCTTTCGAGATTCTACTTCGTCCTAACGACCATCCTCTTCTCCCCGGAAAACACCCACTAAAATGCATTTTTAGATAAAATGTTTATTTGTGTGCATTGTACATATTTCTGGACAATTAGTTAATTTTTTGAGAAAGGAGAAAATAAAGGAGAGAAGAAAAGAACTCTTTTTTGTCTACAGGAGATTTAATACCAAATTTAGTCTACCTGCTTCAGGAAGACATGCTCTAGCCTGTTGATTATTTCCAGGATTTGAGTTAAAATCGCCTAGCCATGTACGTGTTCGGGTTTGGACCCAAACTAAAATTAAATATTTCTATTAATAAAATAACGAGATACTTCCATTTTGTTCGAAACATAGTGACCATGCATTCCATGGTGACCAATCTGCTTTTGAAGAATTTAGGATAAATGAGAATGTAAGCATTTTCAAGATTATTATAATATCAGATTCCATAATAAAATTAAATAAAATTAAGTAATTTATTCAAAATACCGTAAACTATCTATGCATACCCCCTTTGCGGAAGATTACGGCCCAGTTATACACGATACCCAAATCTGCTTCTAGGCAGTAATTTGGAGTGAGTGCAATAGATTTTATGAATCGAAAGACGTAAGTCAATTTAGTAAAAAGTAAAAGATGAAGGTCTAAAGATGACACACAAAAAAGGCAAAAATTGAGCAAAATACGAAAGGCGAAACTGTAACCCCTAGGAGGTATATCTCGGGCTTAGAAAAAGGTTGACTCAAGCTCGGGTTTTCAAAATTTCCTTCGCACCGGTATTCAAGCTAAAATATCAAGGTTTCGGATCTTGGGGAATGTTTGGAATTATCCGGAACATCCTGCGTCTTGCCTTCCAAAATTCTATCCAAAATCACATGGGGAAGGGGACGGAATTTAAATAATATTTTTCTAAGTTTGATAATATTTTTCAAGTCAAGTGGATAAAAAATAAAACAAAAATGTTTATAAAAATTTTAAAATTAAATGTTTAGCTACTTAAATCAATTTTCTTTTTTCATTTTTTATTATTTTTATTAAAAACTAAAAATATATTCTTGTATGTACAAGCAAACAAATGTACATATAAATTAGCAAACAAATGATTAATTAATTAAATAAGTGCTTTTTATTAATAAATAAATATTTTAATAAATAAATAATTTTATTTTAAATTTAATAATGTTACATATTTTTTTGCTTAAGTTAAAAGTAGAGTTGGTTGAGAGGTTTTTTGAGGTAAACCAGATTGAGGAGATTGCTGAGGCTGGAAATCAACCACCGGTGAAGAGTTTGAAGAGTTTGAGCAGAACATTCCAAGAAGATTATTGAATCACCGCAGATGGGCCTTGGTCCATCTGCGGTAAAAAATCTTGCTGTTAATAAATCTTGCTGTTAATCAACTATTGACACATATTTGTATTTACAACTATTGTATTATTATCGTGATAAAGAAGTTTGTTAGTTATTGTCTTATCTCGCTATTCTTTGTTAGTACGTAGACATAGAAGTCTTGGATAAACAACTGGCGGGTCAAGCCCCCAAAATCCGTATTTTTTCTCACGTTAAGTCGATTTTTACACAAATATGTAAAAAACTAAACGATTACATTTCAAAATTTTTATAAATGCATGGGCATAAATCATGCTGTTAATCATTGAGAAAATGCACGATCCAAATCAATTTATTTAACAAAATTTATTTGCATTTTAAATGCCAAAATATGTCGGGGACTACCTATAATGTTTGGTTCACGCCATCTTGGCGCGAGCTAATAAAATAGTGAATTAATTAGCTATAACGATAAAATATTGCAATAATATTTCACGCATGTTTATCTATGTTTAAAAACTAGATTCCTGAAATTTTTCTTAAATTTCTTTAACATCCTTGCCAAAAATTTCAGAATTTTTCATCAAATATTATGTTGTCCAAAAATTACTATGTTCTCCAAAAATTACTGTATTTTTTATTAAATTACGTATGTTCAAGAATGTCTCGGTTACCAAAAAATACCTAATTCTTCATGATTCATCGGCTATAACATCAAAAATATGTAATGAAAAATTCTGAAATTTTTAGATAAGTCAAGCATTTAAGGAAATTTGAGAAAAATTTAAGAAAATTATACGAGCGCGTTTAACATCTAGGCGCCAAAACAACCCCAACCCAAGAGTAGAGGTATCAGAGCTATATTAACAAGATTTTTTTGTAAGAGCTAAATTTGCTCTTAAATTAGTGCAAGCCAAATGTATCTTTTTGCATTTGCCGAGAAATATTTTATATTTTATTTAACTGTGAATTGATCATCCGGTTCAGAACTAGTGAATTTAAAGGATGAAATTTATGCCTAGCTATTCATTCATAAAAATTTCTTACAAATTTATGTAGCTGCTGACTCCGTGCCTTACGCTTAAATTTATGCACTCACACAGCTTAAAACGATATAAAGTCCCTATCACTCAAGAGGTGACAGCTTGTATGAGAGAGAGGTGACAAGAGGTGACAGCTTGTAAATAAATAGTTGAAAAGTTGATAGTTAATAAGTTACTAGTTGATAGTTATTAGTTATTAGTTGATAGTTGGTAGTTAATAGTTATTAGTTGATAGTTAATAAGTTTATAGTTAATAGCTGATAATTGATAGTACTAGCAAGGTTGGCATAGTCTGATACTAAACAGCTGATAGTTACAAGAATAACCGTCAAATAGATTGTTGAAATTTTGAATTTCGGTAATATTTTATAGATGGAAGTCATAAATATTGCAATTTAGATTTTTATTGTAACTAAATCGCCGAATTCCTAATTAAGACAGCCTTGAACGCTATTATAGGTTAGTTTCAGTAATACTGAAGATCAATGCCGTGGCGATGTAATCACATATATGATCTAATACATACAATAAGGTCAATAAATGAGAATTTTGGCTACTTAGACTTCCTTAACTTAGACTTCCTTGGCTACTTAGACTTCCTGCTCTCCTTTGTCTAATCAAGTCCAATCCATCTTCACTTGCACATTTCTACGTCTTAAACTCTTATCCTTGTACAGTCGATATTCGTATACATCAGTCAATCCCTGGACAAAACATTGATGTGTTTTAAGTTTCTGTAGACTTCTTGTGACTAATTTAGCTGTCCTAATTCCTATTCTTTTAAATTAATTTCTCCTAGGCAATTTTTTAAATTTTAATTTTATTAGCTTTATTTAATTAAATATAATATTCTTTAATTTTGAAATTTTTGCACATGATTCCCAATCAATTTATTCAAGTGCATAAATAAAAATTCATGC